TACATACATACTCGCAAGGGAATCAAAATCTTTCTTAACACCAGGTACGATTGCGGTCAAATACCTGCCTTGTCCTGCATTAAAAAAACCTACAGGGTACAGGACTTCCCGTTAACTCAGAATCTTGAAATTTGGTACGAACGTTTTTGGTTTGGTTATAGTTTCGATATTATGTCTGTCTGTCCGAGGTTTTGCTTGGAAACTATTGGCACTAGGGAGCTGTAATTTTGTGGAGCCCCCCCCCCCCCTCTAAAAACTAAACTGTTGGCTTGAAAAATCTGAAAAAATTCGTGATAATACTGCTTTTCATGAACTTTCAAGGATCTTAACTACACTCAACATCAAATAAACCGCACCTTCCGCGACGCGAACTTTAAAGATTTTCTTCTGACACAATCATGGTACCCCAACAATATTGGTGTTATTTGAAAGTCCAATAAATATCCTTCAAGAAAAATACATTTCATTTCTAAATAAATGATTAACATTTACCATAAATGTGACTTGAAAATAGACTTCACTTTGGGCTCACCTCTGGGATCAATTAGACCAATTTTTATGGTTAACCAAATAAAGATCTCACGTGTCCTCTTTGACAGATGGATAGCGATTAATCCCAACTTAACAGTTTTATAGTCACTTCATAAAAAATGGCTATAGCGTAACTACCTATTTTTGAAAGTGACTCTGGATCCTTGTAAAGACACATTTTTGGGGTAAAAACCTTTCCTTTAATGAAATGAAGTTTAGAACTAGGCTTTCAAATGGTACCAATGTTGGTGGGAAGTGGGGATGCATACGTTTGATAAGTGCTTGTCGCGGGAGGTGCGATTTATTTGATGCCGAGTGTATAACGGTTAAGATACATCAGTTAGTTTAAGAGTAATAGTCATTTGACTCATCCCAACTAATATTATAAATGCGAAAGTAACTCTGTCTGTCTGTCTGTCTGTTACGCTTTCCCGCTTAAACCTCGCAACCGATTTTGATGAAATTTGGCATAGAGATAGTTTGAGTCCCGGGAAAGAACATAGGATAGTTTTTATCCCGGTTTTTGAAACGGGGACGCGCGCGATAAAGTTTTTCTGTGACAGACAAAATTCCACGCGGGCGAAGCCGCGGGCGGAAAGCTAGTCTATTATAAAATTTCTTAACCAGTAAAAATTCCTTATATAATATGAAGTGACTTCAGATGAAGTAATTGCTTGCTTCTGAAATATATTGTGGTAACGACGGCCAACCACGGAACCCTACACTGCGCGTGGCACGACACGCACATGGCCTTTTTTTTTTAATTATATTTTTGTTTTCATTTATTTTTTTCCGAAATGGCAATGCCAGATTTTGTATGGAAAGTGGCGTCTTTTTTTTTTCGCGCGGCCATCGACCAAACTTTGTTTTGTGATTACAAAATAGTGTAATAAACCAAACTTACTATGGCATGTATACTTCTAAACTCAGTCTGAACTGAGTTACGAGCAATAGAAGTTTGATTATTTTCATACTAGATTTGCTTTTTGTGCGCAAGTTTTGTAAGAAATTGCAACAAAATAGTGAGATTGTATGTGTAAACAAACAATATCATCCATTAAAGGCTCCAGACATCAGTATGGAGCAGAATCAGCGCAATAAAAAAATAGCGCAATATTTTGTTGCAATTTCTTACAAAACTTTGCGCGCAAAAAGCAAATCTAGTATGAAAATCATCAAACTTCTAATGCTCGTAACTCAGTTCAGACTGAGTTTAGAGGTATACATGCCATAGTAAGTTTGGTTTATTACACTATTTTGTAATCAAAAAACAAAGTTTGGTCGATGGCCGCGCGAAAGAAAAAAGACGCCAATTTCCGGCATTGTCTTTTGACCTAAAAACTGCTTAATTATTTTTTTCTCGCGTGTTTTCAACCGCTTTTACTATTTAATATTAATATCGAATATGTCTTTAGTTAAATAAAATAAATTTCAGATACAGATAATGATTGGATAGTTAATTACGAGCCGCCAAAGTTTAACAAAAGTACAATCCACGATAAAAAATACAACTTAGAATTCGATTAAAAAAAATTAAAGGTGATAATAGATTGCCAATGATCTCAAAAACATCTCTAGCTTCTCTTCTTTCCAATGATATATCACATGTAGTAGTTAGATATTGAAATTCGTCAAAAATTCTAAGTTTATGGAAGAAAATGGAATAATAATACAAAAATTATCTATACAAAGTTTCTTCAAACATCTTTATATTTTCTGCTATACTGCTTTTCATAACTATTTTTGTTTATTTATTTATGACCTTACCTATACACTCACGAAGTTTGTCTAACCTTCCGCCAAACACTCTGTACATTCTCTTATTTTAAAAGTGGGGGGGGGGGGGTTGGACACTAANCGGTTTGATTTTACCACTTTGGAAGTGTCTCCTTCCTTTCAGTTCTAAGTACGGGGACCCCAAAATTTATTGTTTTTTTTTTTTCTATTTTTATTTTAATGCGGTTCACAGAATACATCTACATACCAAGTTTCAACAGTATGAGATACTGTTGAAACATAATAATGTACTGAGTATATTATGTAGCTCTTATAGTTTCGGAAAAAAGTGGCTGTGGCATACAGACGGACAGACAGACATGACGAATCTATAAGGGAAACCTAAAAAGGAATCCAAGAAGTCAATCTGAAAGATTTTTTTAAAGCCTACTAGGTCATAAAATTGTAAAATCTATAAAATTACTCCTGAACTACGTAAAATCGTAAAACGTAAATAACCCGTCCTCACCTATCACCTAGCACCGTGACCTTGACACCTTACAGGATACACCTTATATTTTGTCCTGAACCCTTGGTGCGNGGCTATAAAAAAATATTTTCAATCCACGCAGTACGCCGGCAGCGTTCGGATCGGATATAATGACGTCATAGTCCCCGCGCCGGGCGGTCAGTGAACTTTTTTAGTAATTTGGCCATAACTTCGTCAATTTTTGTCGTAAAACAAAAATTTTTGCACTGTGTATTAAGGATTTCTTAGCCCTATAAATCTGCATTCACAGCTAAAAATCGAAATGATCCTCATTGAGGAAAATACCCGGCTGATTTTGATTAATTTGAACAAATCGATCACAGAATAACATTGAAAAAATATCATAATATATTTTGTACATAACCTAACATACAGCATTATTTTAGCTGACTAAAAATAATGCCTAATTAAATGCCTTATAAAAAAAAATTGGTACCTACCTAAATAAATTTCAACTTAGCTTTTTACTAATATAATAATGAAGGAATTTATTATCAAACACCGTACATAAGTACGGTGTTTGATAATAAATTCCTTCATTTCAATAATTTGATTTCAATAATGAAATCAAAATGAACAACGAAGAAAGCTTACAAATTACCTACATTCAATACTACTGGTAAATGGTGGCCCGCGCCACGGTCCCGCGCTTTCAAATAACGCCATCTATATTTTTATACCGTAAACTTAGCCATAAGCACGCGACAACGACGCTCCCATGTTGGGGTGTTCCGCCGAGTTTAGCGCAGGCGCTGTGATCGGCGTATGTCCTTTGTTCGAAACAAGTCAACATTGTAATATTCGAGTTTAGATCTTTCTCGTTGTATTTATCATCCTAAATATGTTTTTAGTGTAAGAAATGTGTGTTCATTTTGTTTATTTTGGTGTTTTGATTACGTGAAACTATAATTGATGTGGAAAGTGTTGTTTTCTCACGACAAGCTTTCGCTTTACGTACATGACCGAGCTTTAGGCGGACTGTACGCATGAAACCCTTGAGTGACTTTTTTTTCGAAACTGATGTTAAGGATATGGGCCCCGACATGGTGAGTTATTATGCGGTATATTGTGGGATATTAAGTAAAGATACTATTTTAAGTCATGAAATGGCTAAAATCCCGTTTTTTTGAGCAACAGGTTCGTTTTTGTTTTGTTTACTTGTCACCGGCGTCCGCCATTTCTGGTTCGGAGTCTTCACCGGCCGTGTAGGTGTGAGCTGTTTCTGTATCAAAAACATTTCGCCTAATGTTCACAAACATCATGAATTGATGTTATTTCAAACGATTTTCTTTTTTATGATTTGCTTTATTTCACTGTTATTCATAAAATTTGTGAAGTAGATACCTACCTACCTACTAACAAACTGAACTTTGGGTGTATAGATGTACTGTATGGAAGTGTCCATACACTTGACTTGTAATATTTTATTACAAATCTTATGAATCCTCCTGGTTTTGCATACCCTGAAATTAGTAAATTGGGGGGAAAAAATTCATCGAGTACATAAAAAGTAGAGTGGTACATTATTACATAACACCAATATTAATTTATTTAAAACAATATTTTGTCAGTATAATTAATAAAAATAATTTACACAACTAGAATTACTTAGGTTTATAGGTATGATACCTACATGAAATTTTTAACTGAGTGTTATTGTTATTCGTATCTGGTTATTATTTTTTAATTAATACAATCATTCTACTTCACAATAGTAAAAATAATTTACAAATGGTAACATAAAGTTACCAATTTTTGTTCTCTCTCTCATAATGCATCTTGTAAATAGGGTAATATAGCAAGTAGGTAGGTAGATGCTTTGTTTGTGCAAGATGGCTCAAAATTATTATGGATGACTGGAACTTAATATAAATTTCTGAAGATCAAGGTTTTTATGTTAAGTTGAACTTGTTTCACAAGCTGATTCAATAAAATGCTCTTGGGGTCTAAAATATGCATAAAGGGGTCTTCTTCAATCACTAATAAGATGATACAGTCAAATTGAATTTAGGTTTATATGGAATTGTCTAATTAGATTGCTGGTCTAGCAAAATATCAACCTCTAACAATAATCAATTATAACATGACAAATGTTAACCATTTTTATCTCATTCTTCAGTAAGTTATTAAACAATTGTTTACTCATCGAGTCATGTCTCTTGTGCATGTAACATCAAGATTTTGTTTTTCTTTTATGATATAGATTGCACCTGCTGCAAAAAAACTGTGGGACAAAGGTCCTGGCGCTGGCGGTGACAGCAAAGGCCCACCGCACCTTCCTCCACTGCAACTCAACCCCGAGCAGATGTGGCGAGACCCCACATGGTCTGCACAAGGTTAGTCTAATCATCTTCTAGAAATCTCATGCACACTTACTGGCAGTTACCTTATAACTCACATCTTCATAATTACTATAGGTACATGTTTGTTTTAAATTATTCTACTATTCAAGCAGAAGCAGTCAAATTTAAAGTTATTGTGAATCATAGGTTACACTGTAATCAAGGTTTGTTTTCTTATAATCACTATTTAATTACCTAACTTATTAATTTAGTACTCTACAACAAACTGTCACTTTACAATCATTTTCTATTTTTCTAGCAGTGGAACACAATGTTGGAGTGCCTATGATGAGCACACGCCGCGGTGTTACCGCTTTTCAAGGTGGTGATGCTGGCAGTATTTTGTCGCCGCGAGATACAGCCGGCCTTGGAGTCAAGATGGTTGAATATGTATTGGGAGGATCTCCGACAGGTCAGTTTTTAAGAGGTCATTATTCAACCTTAAATAGAAAAAAATGTGAAATTTGTACTAGTGTTCGCTGTTATTTCATCATCCCTTTATTTAGAAGCTGGAGGAGTGGCTACCGGTGGTGGTGGTGAGAAAGTGGCTGGCGTCGTGGCCGGCTTGCGCGGAATGGTCCTGGAAGAGCGTCCTGAAGATAAATCGGCTTCTCCATTTGAGAAAGACCTTCATGAACTTCATGAACATGGACCTCTGCCTAACGGGCTTCATAATGGTCAAGAAGATGACAAAGCTTTCAAGTAAGTTTATTACAATTTAGCTGTAGTTGTATTCACCTAAGTTGTATTGTTATTTTTCGCATAATAATATTTTAAAAAATCTTTAACTCTGTAGAGTCAATTCGCACCTTCAGCATTACAAGTGCAGGTTCCATAAAAAATATTTAAATAAAAATTTCTTCATTTTTGCAAACCTAAATTGGTGGTTGAATGATTTATCAATTCTAATTTACTTCATGCAAATGAGAACAACTTCACAGCAATAACAGAGCGAGTGAGTGAAAATAGCTCATGTGTAAAATTTCAAAAGGTCAATTTAACCCTTATTCTACCGAAGTTGCGAAATCGTAGTTTTGTTTGTCGTATCGAGTGGGCTTAGTGCGCGAAGGTCGTTGTGGGGTGTACAACGCTCGCCTCCGCCGGGCGCGGCGCGGCGTGCTCGCGGCCGGCGGTCGGGCGGGCAATAACCGCGCGCGTAGATCATGGCCTCTGCCAATGCCATCTGCCCCGCGTCCCTCGCTCGCTGCCGTCTGTCGGCCGCTACAGACGTTGGACCAGACTCGATTATTTTATCACTATGATAATAATGACTCATTGATTATTATTGTTATATTATACAATAAGTATACAATAGAGATTAGAGCACTTCCTTAGCACTTCTTCCAATTATGATATCGTAATTTCAAGTTTTTATTATTTCAATAAATGGTGCATTAGTTGTGAATAAATTTGTAATATTTTTTTACTTCTCTGAATAAATGAGAAGTAAAAATTCTTTTTTTCTGATGATTTTTTGGAGATTTTAGAATTGATAATACAATTAGTACATGACATGTGTTTGATTTGATTTTTTATTCTTCTGCATTTAGATACCAAAATTGGGTAGTTGACACCATCAACCTAATTCCATGACACAACTTTAAGAAACCTACTGGTTTTCCATGTAAATGTTAACTTTTCAATTTGTTGGATATTTTTTTTTAGTTTTGAAATCAATAAATAGTTCTGGGACAAGTTGTGGAGTTTTGATGAGTACAGACAGTATTGCCAATAACAAACTGGTTGGTTGTGTCAACTGCTCTATTCTGTTGAAGACAATTTTTTGAAGCGTTTTTTCTCCAACTCGAATACGAACCGATTTGGAAATAAAACACTTAAAAATACGTCGTAGTGTGTAAACCTTTTCCGTTGACTGTATTTGCGCCCGTATTGCCTTGCAACAAGTCGGACACTGACCGCGCCGCGTTCCAGCCGCACGCCGGGCTCGCGGCAGCCGTCGCCGGCGGAGGAGGAGGCGGGCGCGGTGCGCAACGGGGACGCCGCCGCCTTCCCGCTGCTGCCGCCGCACCACCTGCAGCAACCGCCGCTGCACCACCTGCCGCACCTCACGCACCCGCAGGTGAGACAAGGGGACGCTGACCGCGCCGCTTCCAGCCGCACGCCGGGCTCGCGGCAGCCGTCGCCGGCGGAGGAGGAGGCGGGCGCGGTGCGCAACGGGGACGCCGCCGCCTTCCCGCTGCTGCCGCCGCACCACCTGCAGCAGCCGCCGCTGCACCACCTGCCGCACCTCACGCACCCGCAGGTGAGACAAGGGGACGCTGACCGCGCCGCTTCCAGCCGCACGCCGGGCTCGCGGCAGCCGTCGCCGGCGGAGGAGGAGGCGGGCGCGGTGCGCAACGGGGACGCCGCCGCCTTCCCGCTGCTGCCGCCGCACCACCTGCAGCAGCCGCCGCTGCACCACCTGCCGCACCTCACGCACCCGCAGGTGAGACAAGGGGACGCTGACCGCTCGCTCCTAGGATTGCCACCTCCAAAAACACAAAAGCCAGAATCGTTGCTTAATTTGGGCGGGCATTTAGCTCTGAAAGCCGGGGGGTTGTGATGGGTGAGTAATATCAACTATCGTCTTCGAATCGATAGCCCCAACATCCTGATACGGACACCTGGCAACCCTAATCGCACGCCGGGCTCGCGGTCGCGGCAGTCGTCGCCGATGGTCTTGAAAAAGAGTAGTTAACCAAAACACATTCACAGACCCACGCACAGTACCCTTGAAGATACCACTGCACACTGGTGGTATGTTTAAAGTTCAAAGCCCAAATCCATAAATCTTTTGGTCACTATAAATTGGCCCTTGGGAACTTAAAAAATCTAGCTCCTTGGTAATCTAATAAAAAATACGAGTATTTATTGAGCCTTTAAATAGACACGCCTAAAAACAAGACCTATTAGTATTTGACCTAGAATCATGAAATTTGAAAACAAGGTCTTATAGTAAATTTTTAGTTATTTACTTATATCACTATTTTGCGATTAAAATATACATTTTTAGTTAGCAAGTAATAATAAAGCGCTTTATCCCATGTTATGTCTTTTTAATTTGTTTTACTAAATAAAATTTGCAGATAGGGTATGGTATAAGGTTTCTTTGTGTGTGTGTTTTACTAGTACTTCAATATTTGTGTGCAAAAATGTCTTTATTTCTATAATAATAAATTATTTATCTTCTGTTTCAGCCACACCCTGGAATGTTGGGAGTTGCTCCTCTGCAAGGACTACCACACCCACAACATCCACAAATTCATCCAGGTCAGTTCAGTTTTTATTTATTTTGTTTTTATACTGCCAAATTAAAAAATCGAAACTTGATTGACTTCGCATTCAATCCGCGCGCGAGTTGAATTGACTTTCTGGAACATTTTGTTTCTGGAGAACTGTATTCAATTTGCGCGTCTGACTAATTTGTTGTGTTATTTCAATTTTATTATAAAACTGTCAGCAAGTTGTCTCGTGTCATTAAAATGTATTTTTCTTTTTGTTACAGGAATGACTCTGAACGACTCCATGAATCAACACATCGAACTTGTATTACAAATGGAACAACATCCACAATTCGACAACAACAGTTTTGCAAGTACACAGCAAGTGAGTACATAACTATCTATAAACTTCAATATTCCTGCCTTTTACACACCCATTATGGGAAGCCTTTTTCCCCATTCAAGAGATGGTAAACTGGGGTTTTTAAGTAGAAAAGATAAATCGATCGTGAGTCAATCGAATCGTGAGTTAATCGTTATCTAAATGAATTTCTAAGGATCTTCCCTCCAACTACAGACGCGACGCCCGGATCGGCAGTTCGATGCCTTTGTTCAGTTGGCCTCTGCCATGCATGTCATGAGTAGACAGATGACACGGTAAATACTGAAATCGAATTGTGGAGTGGGCTAAAGCGTAACTAAATAAATAATATGATATCGCCGTCGTAGCCAGGAAATACCAAAAAATTTTATAAAGTCAAAAATAGAAAATTCAGGAACCGGGACCTATGTTGTTCATCGGAATGAGGCATAATTATCGTAAAATAACCCCGGTTCTCCATCGCTCGCCTCAGTGGAAAGAACTACATAAACCTAATGCGGACTAAACCTTCAACCCCCTATTCCACCTATCCCACCTGGGTGGGAAAAGTGGGTTTTTATTTCCACTCTTTCCCTCCAGGTGGGATAAGAGGAACATTTCATTCCGCTCTGCCTACCCCAGGGTTGATAAGGAGGTTGCATTTCCTGAAGATAAGGTTAATACGAGGGCGGCACTGAAAATTTCGGGAATCAAGGAAGTGAAACAACATTACTATTTAAAAAAGTATTTATTGCTTTTCAAAGTATTCTCCGCGAAATTTGACACATTTTTCCATACGACGGAACCATCATTGAAGCAACCATGCCATTCGGAAGTTTGGGTCTCCAAAATGGCCGTTTTGTAGGCGTCCACAGCTTCTTCAGGTGATGAAAATCTCTGACCACGCAATTTATTCTTTATTTTAGGGAAAGTATAGAAATCATTAGGGCTTAGGTCGGGGCTGTATGGCGGATGGTCTAATAATTCTATGTTTTCTTGCTCTAAAAACTCTTTTGTTCTGTGCGCGGTGTGAGAACTCGCAGTGTTGTGATAGAGGATGATGCGGCGGTTGCAGTTCTCTTTACAGAGTTCAATAACGACCTGTGGCAAACAAATGCTAGCATACCATTCTGCATTAACTGTTCTTTGTCCCTCAAGAGGAATAGCCGCAACATGGCCGGTTTTGGAGACAAACGTGGCCACCATTTTTTTGCAACACTCCGTGAACGATCAATTTTTGTTGACTTTAACTTATTTTCGAACACCAAAACTCTTGACTGGTTTTTTGTTTCGGGTTCATACGCGGATATCCAGGATTCGTCACCTGATACGATGTTGTATACAGCTTTTGAGGATGCTGCGTGTAATCTTTCGAGAGTACTGACGCACCAAGTAACGCGAGCCGCTTTTTGCTCTTCACAGAGCGAATGCGGTATCCATCGGGAAAACAACTTTTTTACACCTAATTGTTCATGCAAGATTATTTGTATTTGTCTCATGCCAATGTCTAAAGTTGCCTGAATTTTGTTAGGATTATTGGGTAATTGAAGAAAAGATGCGTAATTAACTTGACATTCTGTATTTTATCTTGGAAAGCAATTTAGGTACAACCTAGCACAATGATGGAGGGTTCGAGAGAGATGTCATAGACAAGAGCGACATCTACCACAGATACAGTAGGTTTTCTATTACATTTTATTAATCAGCTTGTTTTTGTTGCACTCTTTAACACCCTTCCTCAACAAAAGCAAGCTATCTCTAAGCTTAAACTTACANAAATTATCTTAAAATAACCCCGGTTCTCCATCGCTCGCCTCAGTGGAAAGAACTACATAAACCTAATGCGGACTAAACCTTCAACCCCCTATTCCACCTATCCCACCTGGGTGGGAAGAGTGGATCTTTATTTCCACTCTTTCCATCCAGGTGGGATAAGAGGAACATTTCCATTCCACTCTGCCTACCCCAGGGCCCCGGCCACTAGCTAGCAAAAAAAAAAATCCAAAATAAAAAAACAAATTATTAGTTTTCTAGCGTATGAGGGCTGCACTAAAAGTATCGGGAATGGAATTCCACCTACCTGGGTGGAATAAGGGGTTGAAGGTTTAACTATCCACAGTCCATTACGGTAGTGTTCGGTGGTACAAAGATGTTCCATCATATGACATCTCTAGGCTTGTATGTTATTACTGACTTACGCCCGTTTCCTATATTCATTCAATCCTTGTCCAAATCCGGATTACAACTGTCAAATTGAATTCAGTTTTAGATTATATTTCCAAAATGTTCGATGCATTTACACTTTAATATTGTTTAAAAGTCTTATAAACAATATAAAAATGTAGAAACATCAAAAACCGCAGATATTTTGGCCAAAAACATATTAAAATTTGACAGTTGACAATCCAAATCCGTCTAATTTCGATTAGGATTGAATATAGAAATCCAGCATTAAACCTTTTGTTTTGCCAGTACGGCGGCGTGGGCGGGGTGGGAGGCGTGGGCGGCGGCGTGGGTGGCGTGGGCGGCGTGGGCAACGCCGGCGGCGGCGTGACGGCGGCCGCCAACCTCGTCAACGGCGCCGCCGTCGTGCAGTCCGCGCCCGACTCGCATCAGCAACATCAACCCTTCGATGTGCAGGTGAGCTGCTTCACTTTTACATGCTATAGATCGAACAGCGAAAGTTGAGGCGGACACGGTACTCGTGATGACGTAATAAATACGTGTACGTCGTGTACACTGTACATGTACCATCGGCCACAGTGTTCACTATCCATTGCCTTTCATGTCGTCTCGTTCTATCGCAAAGAATCATAATTTGATTAGAGCGAGAGCAAAAACGGAAATAGATACATAGTTAACGAGTGTGGCCGTGTGTACAGAAACGCACGCAACACGTGCCAAATTGAAATATTGAATAAAACTCATTTAGTTATTGCATAGGCTTTGAAAAAGCGCTATTACACGTACTCAGTATTACTTTAACTTTACCTCTGCTTCGGGACAATAAAAATGGGCCAGTATTGAGAAGAAGCAGCGTAAGAAACTGAAATAATTCAATGGCGAAACTATAGGGTGGCAGGGCTGGCAAAATGCCACGGGCCCCCGACCTTAGGGGGCCCCAGCCCAGGACCCTAATTCAAGCCACAGCATTTGCCACGGGCCTCGGATGGTATAGTTACGCCACTGCTCGCTCTTGCTAAATTAACGAGTGTGCAAGCGAGACAGAAAGCACTTGTAAGTCAGACTACTCACGACGTTACCGCCGCTGGAGTACAAATACACAAACACTAATTGTATTAATCGCCTCAACTGTCGCTGCGCGAGCTATACACCTTGATAGGAACTTTTCAGGGACAGATTGACACTTGGTCAGAGTTTCTTCTACCTTATTACAAAACACTATGGGACGATACCCATCGACCGGCGCGCGTCGGAGCGCACTTACACGGCCGTAAAGAAAATAGTATTTTATTAACAGTTCTTAGAGTCGTAATTGCTTACAACTGATTAACTGACATTTCAATCCGGACGGATGCGCGAGCATGCGTCGGAAGCCGGTCGGCTCCGAGCGTATTCCAGCGGATACGCGAGCAGACGCGCGCATATCACCGCATTTTTGGCCCTGTCGTACAAGTTTTTATAATATTTCGCTACGAACTTCCTATGATATTAATTCCGAAGCGTTTCGTAACAAAAACGGTACACTTATTGACGAATTTCAGTACTTGTAGTTGGTATCCAGATACGAATGAGATATGCATCTGAAAGTTGCTATCTTCTTTCTTGACAAATTTCCTTGCCACGGCCGTCTGGTTACAGCCAAAAGATCAATGCAATCGAAACAAAACAAAAAACGGTAACAGTTTCTATCTAAAGCCAACTTACTCAATTCAAGTCTGTAAGTCTGAGCTGACGATTTTATTAAATTCAAAAACTTGCTCTACCAGGCACTTAAAAAGTTATAAATATTAGTGGAAGAAACTAGTCACCTTTGACCAGCTGACTGAACTTAATGGAGTAATTAAAATACTAAATGACATTTATTTTTATTAGGACTTGTGTACTGACAAATACTTGCATACTTCTGTATCTACATTTATATTCAAAAATTACTTGTGTATCACAAATATAATATTAGTTGAAAATATAATCTGCCGACAAAATGATTTGATTTCGATAGTTTTAAGTATGCGGTAATGGTATAAAAATATAGATTAGGTAACTGAAATAGGTATCCATCGAAGTTTATTTGGCAAGTCTGACCAATTGTCAATACTTTCGTCATTCAAATTAAATTAGCGAAACTGGGTGATTTTCGTCTAGCAATCGTGCTGATGTCTCGTTGATCTTGGCATAACGAGATCAAAATCCAGGTATTTCAGGATGTTCCTGCCTCATGGACTGGCCTTAAATCCAGGTAAGTAAGTTATTAACTTCATTAATAAAGGTTATATGAAAAGACCTTATATAACGGGCGTAGTAGGTTAAGTTTTGGCAGTTTTAATCAAACTTAAGTTTAACTATTATTCTAAACTTTTTAACCTAACTGCGCCAGAAGGAGGGTTATGTTTTTTGCAGTTGCTGATCACTTTCACATTTCTTTTAACAATCTGACGGAACAATTTCGAATTTTTTGTTGAGGAAACAAAAACAGGTATTTACATACTTTTATTTATTACCGGTACAGTACAGATAACGGTTACTTAGTGAGGCAGTTCGAGACACTTGCTTTTTAAGACACTTGCACTGCTTATTACTGTGTACATCCAGAAGTAAAAATATTGTAAAAAAAGTCCTAAATGTATGTATCCGTTGGAATGTACAAAAATTGTATAAATAGGATTTTAAAAAAAATATTAGACCCGCTTATTGTACGCGAAAATAGTCCTAAATGATCTGATACCAACTTGACACCCAAAAATTTACTGCATTGCAGTTGTCGCAATAATCGTTGAGTAACCTACGGGCTCAGACAGCGTGTCAGCATTAATATGCCTTTTAGCGACTGGTCATGTTTTTCTCAACTGAGTTTCGTTCTTTCCTACCTGCATTGTACAAAAACACAAATATCCTAAGCGGATGTGCCATCTCGCTTTATCGACCAAACATAAATTAAACATTTTCCACTGAAGTCTATTGCAGGATGTGGTCCACAGCACGCGGCTCTGGGCGGTTTGCTTCTTATGCCATTAGTTGCCCAGTTGGCTTTGGACTTCTTTTATATCCATGTCCACCATGTCATACCTATTTCTACCGGGTAGCCTACATCACTCATGTTTAGCAGTTCTAGAATTTTACTCGAACTAGGTCGGGGAAGGTTCTTTCTTGAGCCCTTTTTTCCAACGTTTCTCACTTAATCAAGCTTTTACCTTACATTACCTCTCTAGATTTTCTAAAATCAAAAAGATGACTACTTATTAAAAGTCATAATGTCCTAATCTTGGTTATTGATGATTTGAATTTCTCATGAATAATATTTGATAAGGCTTTCAAGAGCTCGTGCAATATGCTAAGTTCCTAAGTATCGTTGTTACAAACAACGTCGCGAAATGTTAATCATATTAAAGATACAAAACGTGCCTGAATACATCATAGCTTTTGATGGGATGAGCATGAGTCCCTTGGAATAATGCCATCTTAACTACAAAAACCATAACAGTTTTGCAGCTTTATCCCTCTCATTGCTAAAAAATAGCAATGGTGAATCCGCTATCAACAGTGTTTCACCATTATAGTGTGTACCTCGATTCGACGCGTGCCCCGCTAACGAGCGACTATCTCCGGGCCTGTTCCCACGGCGCGCGTCTACGAGGAAGCAATAAAGCTACACCTTAACTGCACACACCATTACCGATTGTAACGGCGCCCATGCTTGATAGAATCGATGTCGGTCGTGCGATGCCATCCGCCGACACCCCGATGTGTCAATAACGTCTTATCGAATTGGCAAGTTATCATGTGTTGATGTCGTACAAGCTGCTTTCCTTACCATTTTCAGCAGAACACTATTTCGCTTTGTTAAACGGATCCCGAGCGAAACGATTTCATCAAAATTTTGCCCGTAGTAGTGGCGATATTATTAGTTAGCATGTACATTTCACTTAATGGTTTTTACCCAGTTATAGCAATTTAAAGCTTAATGCGTAAAGAAAAAGATAGCAATTTTACTAATTTCAGAAAACCAATTTTCAAATCGATTAATTCTGATTAGTCTCGATTAAACGTGGCATAATCTTATTTACTTCGGTAACGCAGCTGAATCTAAAATATATTTTAGCGTTTCCAGTTTCTCCCCCTGAGAACTGATCACATCTATGATATACGACACCACCAAATGGGGTCGATGCACTTAGACAACCAACTCCTTAGTACTTGCATTGTTCGATGTCTGCAATCCGTGTGAAAACTGCAATCTAGGTTACCTACTACCTATTTGACTGCATGGCAATATGCCATTGTATTTCCTTAGACACGATAATAACAACATTACTGACATGTGCAACTTGCCAAACATAAATCCATTGGGATGTGTGTTTTTGTGATAACGTCAGGATTGAGATATTTCCGAGACGCTATTGTGAGCAAACGTTTGATGTTATCTTTAGAACTCCAGTTTTGATATACATAATTAACGGACGTTCACTTGACTATTCATTACTGGCAATTAATTCCCGCGGGTTGCGCTCCGCGGCGCTGAGATCGACCTCGTGGGAAATTAAACTGTGCGCGGGCCGTCTTCTGCCGCCCGCCGCCGCCGCCGCCTCACGCCCGTCCTCGCCGCCCCTCTTTCACATATGAAAACACTTTCTCTCGCAGATTCCCCGATTTTTCTAGATACAACTTGTTCTTGAGCTTGCCATGCCAATTAATAGAAATAACTCGGACATTCTTGCGATTTTCTCGACTCTTACGGGTTTCATTCAATAACATGTTTTTCTTTCTCATTGTGTGCTGTTTGCATTATTAAATAAATTCAGCCAAGTTGTATTGAAATTAGTTTGCCGGGCTTGTTACGACCCACCTAGGTGGCTCATTAAATATGAAGCCGTAATCAGTGTGGTGCTCGCAGAGCCTCTATTTCACACCGCAGGATGTGCATGGTTTTGTTTCGTATATGTACGTTCATACTGCATACTGTATTTTACTGTCGGAATCGTTATGTTTTGCTGGTATTAGATATCGTTTAAAAGTTTTTTGTCACAAGGAAGGCAAGGGACGTTCCTATCGGTTAATAACACCAGCTGTCGTCTTTAAAGTTGTTGTAATAACTTGTAATGATTATTACCGTTACCTAATTAATCTGCATTTCATTTATCGTGACGACGCTTTCGCCGTAGCGGAAGGGGGAGCACGTAGTCAAAATGTTGCAACGAACGTACAAATCGCTGCCGCGAATCGGATCGGAATCGCTCAGCCGCACCCGATTGCGCCGCCACGCATCACTGACTCCGGAGAAATTGAAGTGCAAACCGCTAGAATACCGCCTCGGCCAGCAACAACTACTTGCGAAACTCCTCGCTGCTTAATTGTCCCCACCTAACCCCGAATCGGGGGTACTCATCGCAACACTAATTTTGATTCGCATGAACACTTTAGCTCCATTAAACTTGTTATGCGACCTTAAAAGCTAATAAAGA